CAAAATAGGTCACGCACAGTGTTTTTGGGTAGTAAAAACACGTTCCAACGGATGACCCAAACCGAAGACGCATTTTGCCTTCCAGCTGATCCGAGACGCAAATAAAGGTCTCCAGACAGAGACGACGCAAATCGGCCAAATAAAGAAAAAAAAAGAACGCACCATTCCCCATCCTCATCGTCGCTCGCTCCGTCCCGACGCGGCGGCGGAATCGGCGGCGGCGCCTCCCGCGGTCCCTCGCGTCCGTCCGCCCTCCGCCCCCTTGTCCTCTCGCGCTTGCTTCGCTTTCTTCTTCATCTCCCACATGCTCTGCTGTTGCGTCTGGATCCACCACGGTTCCATTGTGGCCGCGGCCAGATCCTTGGCCTTGGGGTCTGGATCCACCGCCCCTCTGGCCGGATCTGTGGTCTGCGCTCCTCGGTGGCGCGGCGGCGGCCATGACGCAACGTGGTGGCCGGATCCGGTCCGGTGGTGCGACGACGACGGCTCCTTCGGCTCCACCGCGTCCTCCTCCTCGTCGTCCGTGGTGCAGGCCGAGGTGGATGTGGACGGATCCACGTGCTCGGCAGCTGGATCCGTTCGCCGGTGGCTGGATCTGGTGGTGGCTGCCGAGCTCGCCTCCCTGCAGATATTTTCCGCTTTGGACTCGCGCTGGTCGCCGGAGGTCGCAGGATCGTGGTACGCCTAGGCCATCTCTTCGCTGAATTCGGTGGTGCTCCAGTTGGATCTGGCGGCGTCGTGGTGGTTGGCCCTCGGCTGCGTCTGGACGGGCTCCGGTCTGGCGTCGTCGGCGGCTCCGGCCCAGGGCACCGGGAACGGCGCCGGAGCTTTTGCGTCCGTTGTTGGAAACGCGAAGTTTTGGGTGCGCTAGCTTTTCTCTGTGCGTGACCTATAAGAACGAATGCGTCTCGTATTTGGGTTCGCTCCGTTGGAGTCAGTCTAAGACAAGCCAAGACAGACAGAGGGAGGCCCTGTCCTGCCGCTTCTCTCTCCTCCGATCCAGCTCTCTACTTGCGTGGATGCTTCTTTTTGGTTCGCTTTGCTTACGTGCTTTCCTGGTTGGAGATTCCCTACCACGTATTTTATCTTCTCTCGATCGCTAGCTGTCCGTTGGACCTCTTGAGACCGGGAGGAGCAGGAAGCGGAGGCGACATCTCGACAAGATCATAATTTTGATGGACAAGGGAGGGCGGTGTACATGTATGAGGCGAAGCGTGGAAGCACAAGGCAATAGAATCGGCCACAAGAGAACACGAAAAAAGACACGACGAAGACAGGGGAAAGAACCATGTGCTCCAAAGAAAAATTCGAACCAGATCGCCAAGAAAAAGATGAGCGTGAAGTATCGACGTAAAAGGCAAGCAGAGTCCGAGAGAGCGAAAGCAAGCGGGGAGGCGGGATCTGACCGACTTGGCTTCACTCTGCCACGCTGGCGCGATGTTATTTTTTTGGATGACGGATTTATTCAGAGCAAGGAGACGCACACAAGTACTCAACGCCCGAACACAACACGGTGCGCGCAAGGACAACAACGCTTTTAAATATAATCTCAGATGCTGACGCGAAAAGCTGGTTTATATTTATTTTATTTTAAGTTTTAACACGATTAACTTCCACCAATAATTACTTCACGCCAAAGTTCATACGTCGCACTAACCCATAAAGACAAAAATATTTAAGCGCTATTTAATTTCTTTGCTCAATATAGTTTGCTAAAAATGGTATTTTAACCCTAAGCGCAATATTTAAAATTTTTAACATTCGAGAAACTCGTTTCGGTAATTTTTCTTAGGCCTAAATCGCCGTGCTAAACGAGATCGTAACACCGGGGTGTTACAGCTAGGTTCTTCGGCCGCCAAGCCATCGCTTGCCTTTCACCCTTGCTCAGTACCTCGAAGCCTTTCCTTGCTATCTTCACCACTCAAGCCATCAAGTCACATCTTGTGTTAAATCATCCATTCATTTGTATTGTTATCTTTTTCATTTTAATTTAGCAAGCTTCAAATATGAGACCATTCCATATGCAATCCCTCATGTCTCATTAATTAATTCTTACAAAGCTTGCTTTCACATAGTACATGAAAATCCCACAATAAATAAGGCTTTATATGAATTCCATTTGCATTGTTGTCTTGTGCTTGAACTAGATTGTTTATACAACAACACATCATTTTGGCTTTCATTAAGTACCTGTGAGATAACCTATTACCTGTGCACACTTAGCAGACGGGTTAGACCTTTAATCACATTGTCATTCAATCATCCAAAACCAACTAAAGGGCTAGATGCACTTTCAAACACGTCGCAAAAGATCCAACGTCCTATATCGGGCCGAAACACATCTGCACAACACATGTGACACATTGGTGGTTGAATTGGGTACAACACATGTGACACATTGAGCACAATGTTTGTATGAAGGATCTCCTTGGTTGTTGTAAGGTGCTCAGAGATTTGAATAACCTCAACGATGTTTGTGCTGCACAAGGAAGATGGGATGATGTTGCAAAAGGGGTGGAAAATTAGAAGATGTAGGTGGATTTGTTCTTGAATTGTGATGGATTTATATAAATATGTGGATGGATTTGACGTTCCTATAAACTGCGGTGGATTTAAATTTTTTTTATGACCATGTTTATACTTTAGAAGCTGGCATCCCGTATGTTGGTGATATATAAACTTGGTTTGGCTCTTAACAAATTTATTATATACTCTCTCCGTTCCAAATTATAATTCGTTTGACTTTTTTGAACCCAAGTTTGACCACTCATCTTATTCAAAAAAAATTATGCAAACATAGTCAAAATTTAAGTCATTCTTGAAGAACTTTTGTTAATAAAGCAAGCCATAGTAAAAGAAGTGATATTTTGCACAAATTTTTGAATAAGACGAAAAAGTCAAATAAATTATAATTTGAAATGGATTTAGTAGTTACTGCCTATATGGGTTGCAAAGAATCGATATCCTAGCTACAGCATATCCAGTTCTTTAATCTTGTGCGACGGAATCTGATGCTGGTTTTAGACAGCGTTTCAGGATCTCATCACAGGTACATCTAGGGCATATTCGGCTGAGGCTGGAGGTTGGGGCTTTTTCTTTTATTTTTGTTTCCTTTTTCCTATGTTGTTGTTGTTGTGAGGAGAAAAGCACGGTGAACGCAGGGATATCATTTCTTTTTTTTTGGTAAGACAAAATGTGAAAGCTGAAGAATATGAAGAAGAAAGGGAAGAAAGCAGTACTTTGCGTGAATACAATGTGCGAAAACAACAGACTATTCTCAAATCATTTAATATGTGTTACTTCTTTTTAGAGGTATACGACGACGTGCGCATCGACAACGAGTGTACTGACTTTTGCAATCTTTCCAAGACGCTTATATAGAAATAAGTTGTGGTTCCGTGAATATGTTTTTTGAAGAGAAAAAGAACAAAAAATAAAATGCAAAGGACTACTGCTGCAGGAGTGGTAGATGAATTGACATGTGTCACCGTGCCTGGGAGAGTGGGAGATAGGGCGCAACCCAAAAAGAATATATATGTGAAGTTTATTTTGCTTTGACTATTCCTATTCCTATTAGTTTGTCTGAAGAAACACTCGTGTTGTAGTATATTTATTTTATGAGCTTGATCGGTAGCCGTTGCTGGCTTGCTGTTGTTGTCGTTTAAGTCACTACAATAAGAAAAAGTACTATACTTTAGAGGTACTCTTTCCGTCAAAATAAATGCACATCTCGGTTCTCGAGAAGTTAAATTTTTTAATTTTTGACTAAATTTATAAAAAATATACTAATATCTATGATGTATAAGTAGTCCCCCATTTTAGTCCCATTTCATCTTTAAATTGTCAAATAATGGGACTAAAAGAGAGACTAAAGTGGGTTAGAGTCCTGGAATCCCTTTAGGGGTGGGTTTTTGGGACTACTGGCTCAACTGGACAGCCCATGCCCCTCAATTTAACCTGCTTGACTGATGGTTTCTGTGGCTGATAAGTCGGTTGAAGCTATTTTATTGTGAGAAAAACACTATACCATGACTGATAAGTTAGGCTGATAAGTTCAAGTGAACAGGTAGACTGTCGATCTCCACCCCTCCTGCAGCTTTAAGAAGGATATTTTGGTTATTGTCCAGCAGCTTTATGGTCTTTAGTCCCTTGAACCAAATAGGTTTGGGGACTAAAGTTTAGTCTATGTTTTAGTGTCTAGTCCCTAGACTAAAGAACCTATCAGGCCCTGGGTATGGAGTATGCTTTCAAAATAAATTTAATGTCGATACCTTTTTTAAATTATAATCATAATCAATTTTTTTAAAAAAATGACTCCACGTGAAACGAGATGTATGTTTATTTTAGGATAAAGGTACCGATTCTGCGGTTGCAGCAATCAGCGTTGAACAGATCCTATATTATATACTTACTCCGTCCTAAAATAAATTAACTATTAGAATCACGCTAAGTCAAACTATGTTGAGCTTGACTATTTTTAAAGTGAAGAATAACAACAGTTATGACATAGAATAAGTAGATTACGAAAACATATTGATACTAATTTCATGTATAAATATCGTTGCTTTTTTCTATAAATTTATGACAACTCGAAGTTGATCTATTTTAGAACAAAACAGAACACGAAGAAAAAGGAACGACAAGTTTCAGCTGATGATTTGCAACAGAAGGATGGACAAGTGTCAGCTGATTTGCGATGGACAAGTGTCACCGTGGGCGTGGGGTGGGGCCCAAAGAATGAGGCGAAGCGGCCGGGCCGGGCCACACCACAAAAAACAGGGGGTCACCAAGAGAGATCCAAAATTCCCTGGATCGGAGAGAAAAAAGGCCAGTCTGTGTATAAGCTCGCGCCACGGGAGTCCCGCACGCGGACGCCGGCAGATTCGCGAAACCCATCGCATCGGCCATCGGCGCGGCTGCCTCCTCCATCGATCCAGAGAGGCTTCTCTGGGCTGCTCGTCTCTCTCGCCCCCGTCGGCCCCCGTCCGCTTCGATCGCCCATGGCGGCTCCCGCCCCCAATGGCAATCCCACTGTCAGGTCGGGCTCCCTCCCCTTCCTTTTAATTTCCTTTGCTGTTGCTTTTTTTTTCTTTTTCTTTTTTCCCAACAACAACGGCATCGCTAGCTAGATTCTTCTCGCCATCGATCCGCGTGTTTTGTTTCGTCATGCGGCGAGAGGCTGGAGTGTTTGGATCACGTGACTAAACTTTAGTGCTGTCACTTTGGAGGTTTAGATGCCAATTAGGAGAACTAAATCTGAGCTAATTATAAAACAAATTGTATAAGATGTGGCTAATTTGTAAGACGAATCTATTTGCTCTTGTTTGTTGTCATTACTCTGACACTCTGTAAAGTACACAACGGCGATCTGTGTTGGGTATCAAAAGCTCATTCATTTTCTTTTCTTTGTCAACGGTGAACACAACGCCATCCAATTAACGCTTGTTCGTTACAGTTTCAGATTTACCAACCACTCGTTCAAAGTCTGTGCGTGGTTGGTCAATATAAAATATTGCCGTTCGTGTGAACTGAATTACATGCTGTTTCTGCTCTTCTTCTGAAACCGTCGAGTTGCGTGACTAGTGACTACCGTCGAGCGATGCAAGTTAGCAACTTGCAGCGTCAGATTTATCACACACATACTTGTTCCAAGTTCCTGATCAGCTGATGATTCAAATGCTGGGCATGATCTGCAGCTCCCTGGCGACAACGGTTCCCGTCCAGGCGGTTCTGTTCGACATCGACGGGACGCTGTGCGACTCGGATCCCCTCCACCATCTCGCTTTCCAAGAGCTGCTTCTCGAGGTACGGTGGAATGGATGGATTTCCTACACACTTCTTTCGTCTATGTTTCTTACTTTCTTTAACCAACAAGCTGCGATGTGATGTGATTTGATTTGATTCACCAAATGGCTGGCACACGCAGATCGGGTACAACAACGGTGTGCCGATAGACGACGAGTTCTTCATCAAGAATATCGCTGGGAGGAGCGACGTCGAAGCTGCCCAGAATCTGTTCCCGGATTGGCCCCTTGAGAAGGGGCTCAAATTCCTGGATGACAAGGAAGCTAAATACAGAAGGTACATACTTGTGATTTCCTCAGTTTCATCAAGATAACTGAATGTCCTCGCAAAAATGATAACTGAATGATTCAGAGAATCAGAGTGTAATCCATTATTACAGCAGCAACTCGTTCGTGTACCATATAGATTACGATAACACGATGGACTGAAAAGTTCTAGTTGTTCCCTTGTTTCAGTTTGGCAAAAGAGCGCTTGGTACCTGTAAAGGGCCTCGGGAAAGTGGTCCAGTGGGTCAAAGACCACGGGTACAAGCGCGCAGCAGTAACCAACGCCCCAAGAATCAACGCGGAGCTCATGATCTCCCTTCTGGGCCTCTCAGACTTCTTCCAGGCTGTTATCATCGGAGGCGAATGTGAGCAGCCAAAGCCTGCACCATACCCTTACCTCAAGGCCCTCAAGGAGCTTGAAGTGTCTGCAGAGCACACCTTCATCTTTGAGGTAAACCAAACACAGCTTTGTAACTGGAACTTTGTGGTCTGATTGTATCATAGTAGTAGTCACTGATACGAGATTTTGGTTGGTGTAGGATTCTCCTTCTGGTATACGGGCAGGCGTCGCAGCAGGAATGCCTGTCGTTGGTTTAGCGACAAGGAACCCAGAGAACTCCTTAATTGAAGCAGGAGCCGCGTTGCTCATCAAGGATTACGAAGATCCTAAGCTCTGGCCAGCGCTTGAAGAGATCGACAGAAAGGAAGCTAAGCTGAAGAAGGCCAGCGCATGATATGATATGATGATGAACAATTGATTAACTAGATTTATCGCCGATTAAGTTGGGCTAGTAACACATTTATGTTCCTAGTTATGCTGCAGCTGTGACTGCGAGTAACGGCGGAGAGATCAGGGTATTTTTGAGACTCTAGTTTGGTATGTTATTTCCTTCTTCTTGATGAAACTGAGATCAAATAAGAACTCAGGAATCTTCTCCTTCTGCCAGAGGTTACGATTGTTTGGTGAATGTGGGTATGGGACTCGCTCTGTGACAATGACAAAGCGGTTGCGCTTGTTGCGTACCATCTGTGTATTAACTTGTTGCTTCAGCAGTCTTTGTTGAGTAGTCCTTGATCTGAAAGGAAGATGAGATGGAAACTCCCTCCCAACGGGAAAATGTGTTGAAACGCGCCATGCTGGTTATCAAATTCATCGTTGTTTTCATTTATGGAAACCGTGTTGAAAGTGGTTTCCGCCTTTCTGGGGCTATGCAACATTTTGTTGTGGGCTCATATACTTGAGTCAGCGAGTCCAAAAAAAAAATAACAAAGAATCTGAACGCCGTTTGGAAAGGCAGGAACAGGTCGAAAGGAAGACAACGGTGGTCATATTTAGTAGTGTGGAACATGAGACGAGGACTACCAGTCTACCACCAACCGCGCCAACTGAACCACCAGCACAAGGAAGAATCCTCACCAACCAAACCAATCCTCCCTCTTCAGTCTTCTCCCTATAAAATGTCCAGGCAGCATCAGAAATGAACACAAGACCCAAAGAAGCAACCCAGTTTGGCATCCAGCAGCAACTGGCCATGGAAAGGTAATCCTGCCTACAACCACATCATCTTCATCTAGAGTATTTTCTGCATGATTTCATTCAGTTCTATTCCCCCCGGAGGGACAGAGACTGTCAAGATTTCATTTCAATCCAACCAAGTTCTCTGCAACCATGGCCATCCAAGTTTATTTCTCTTCTGTGCGTGTGTGGTTGCAGCAGTGGGATCGGCAGAGTGGCTCCCCTGGAGGCCGTGCTCTTCGACATTGACGGCACCATGGCCATCTCGGACCCGTTCCACCACAGGGCCACCTCGGAGATGCTCCTCAAGGTGGGCTACAACAACGGCGTCCCCATCACGCCGGAGTTCGGCATGGCGCACATGGCCGGCCGGAGCAACGAGCAGATCGGTCGCTTCCTCTTCCCGGACTGGGACCAGGCGCGGCTCGACGCCTTCTTCGCCGAGAAAGAGGCGCTCTTCGCCAGGTACGCCGGCGAGGGCCTCAGGGAGATCGCCGGCCTCACCGCGCTCTGCCGCTGGGCCGACGAGCGCGGGCTCAAGCGCGCCGCCGTCACCAACGCGCCCAGGGCCAACGCCGAGCTCATGATCTCCATCCTCGGCCTCACTGACTTCTTCGAGCTCGTCGTCACCGCCGAGGAGTGCGAACGATTTAAGCCCTTCCCGGACCCGTACCTCAGGTCGCTGGAGCTGCTCGGTGTCTCGCCGGAGCACGCCGTCGTGTTCGAGGACTCCATCACTGGCGTGCAGGCCGGCGTTGCTGCTGGGATGCCGGTGGTTGCCATCGCCGAGGAGAGCCGGGAGGACAAGCTGCTCGCCGTCGGCGCCACGCTTGTCATCAGGGACTACGAAGATCCCAAGCTCTGGGCAGCATTGGACAAACTGGACACCGCCAAGCCTGAAGCTGCTGCTGAGGCTAATGGAACTCATACACAACTGTAGCTGAGGAACACAAATACTAGTGGCGAAAAACAACTTCTTGCTATATTTCACTTTCACGCATACTTGAGAAATTACAACTGATTCATGTATGATGTATCTTGATGAGATGAGGTCATACAAAATTGCCTGTAGGCCAGGCTGTTACAGATAAGTGAAAACAAAACTGATTGCGAGAAAATACAGAATTCTATATCTATAATCTATTCTCCCACAAGAGCTCACATGAGATTATGCGCTTCAGAAATGGGTAAGCTGATGACGGTGCACACTCCTTGCAAACATGGTACAGACAATACTAGCGTGCTTGGTTTAAGGCCCCGTTTGGCAGGGCTTCTCCAGTGGCTTCAGGAGCTGTTTGGAGCCGTTTTCTACCAAACGGGGTAAAATAAAACGGCTCCACCGATGAAGCCCCTAAAAACATGCTCTCACAGAGCTTTGGGGTGGGAAGGAGCCAAAAATAGTGGCTTCTCCCGGCTCCTCCTCCAGGCCCCTAAAAACATGCTCTCACAGGAAAGCCATTTTGTCAAACGGTTTACCAAAACCGCTTTAGCTCCACCGGTGGAGCTGTTCGTGGAGCTGAAGCAAAAAAAAATGGCTTCACTAGTGAAGTGAAGCCCTGCCAAACGGGGCCTAAGTCATGAAGCTGTCCGGAATCATCCGATCCAAAATCCGAGCCTAGCTGAGACGTTTGGTTTGCGGCACGTCATCAACGCGTCCATCATTCCACATGCGGTGTTTCCGTGAACCAACAGCAGTTAGTCTCTTGGAGTCTCGGACGAGGTCGTTCCGCAAAAAAAGTCAGGACGAGCCGGTGCCTGACCAACCCATGCGGAACGGATCCAATCTCCAAACCAAACAGGTTGTACATTTTTCACACGGTCCTCGTATACACACTATGGTATGGAGAGATGGTGATGGATCAGTTTGACGAGTATCTCTTTGACAAGGCCTCATAATGTTTGATTTGCTGCAGAAAAAGGGAACAAGATCAAAGGGAGAAATAGGTGAGATGGTAGCACAATGGCGAGCAGATAAGAAATAGCACTGACATCAGGAAGTCATTCTGGTGTTTGCCCATACCTGTTCAGATACTGATGGCTTGATCTTTGATAGAGCACGTTCAAAGTGCGAGATCCCAATCAAACAAGACGAACTCAGAGAGGATGTCCCGTTCTCAATGAATTCTAATCTCTCTTCCAATGCTGCCATGGCTGCTTCATTGATCTAATGAAAGAAGCACATAAGTTTGTTACAGATATCTTGTCAGTTACGATTAGATTGAATTCACCAGCTACCCATCTGAAAGCAAAGCAAAAGGAAAATGCTTCATTGTGCAAACTGAAGCACTAGTGCTCCTTTTGGACAACATATAATCAATGAAATATCACAAATATTACCAGCGATGCTAGGTCGGCACCAGTGAGATTGTTGCATTCAGCACGACGTGCAAGTGCATCCAAATCAACATCAGTCGAGACAGGCTTGCTACGAGCATGTGCTTTTAATATTGAAACACGCTCGTCTGCACCAGGTAAAGGTACATAATGTTTCTTTCCAAATCTACCAGGCCGTAAAACAGCATCATCTATCACATCAATCCTACACCAGAAAGGGGCTGCAGGTATCAGTAATATATTCAGGGATAAACATGTAGAATGGTAGACCCGTCCCACTGCTGACAATTACCTGTTTGTAGCTCCTATCACATAGACACCTTGGCGTTGATCAGCACCATCAAGTTCGATAAGTAACTGTGAACAGAAGAATATGAATAACACAGAACAGAAAAGCAATGCAAAGGAATGAAGAGGCAGGTGCACAAACTAGTACAATACTCAAACCTGATTTAAGAGACGTTCAACAACCCATCCTCCCTCTCTCCCTCTTTTTGTTGTCAAAGCATCAACCTGCCACATCATATGGAATAAGAACTTGAACACCATACCAAGAGAAACAGCTCTCCAAACCATGTTGCTTGATTACTAAGTATAAATAAATGCATTAAACATCCCAAACTTGTCTGAAGCAATCGAAAAAATAGGATGCATGCAATCTCTTACCTCATCAAAAAATAGGATGCATGGGGAGTTAGTCCTTGCACGAGTGAATATTTTCCTAACTTCCGATTCACTCTCCCCAACATACTTGTTCAATAGCTCAGGCCCCTAATGAACCAGAAAAAGAAAAATCTTAGAACTACTTTGTATAGCTTTGAAAAGCTGATGTGAAAATATGAAAATCCAAACATCAACCACCTTGATGTGAATAAAATTAGCCCCTGCCTCATGTGCCACTGCTTTTGCTATTAGTGTTTTCCCGCAACCAGGAGGTCCAAACAGCAGGAAGCCAGCTTGCATATTCACTCCAAATACCTTGAAAAGCATGAAACAAAGAGGGTATGAAAAAAATACTCAAATGTATAAATCACATACAAAAGGTTAACAGTCATTAATAAAATAACAGTATGGATGTGTATTTACTTAGAAATAATCAAGTGCTCTCAACTTCTACAGTATCACAATAGTAGATGGAAATACTAGACAAAATACAGAAGTAAGAATTGTAAAATAAACTTCTCTGGGGCAGTAAATTCAATTCAGTATTCACCTCATAGTCTTCAGGGTGCTTGATACAACGAATAATGCAGCGGTCAAACTCTCTTCTTAATGAATCAAGACCTCCAACATCATCCCATGTGACATCAGGGACAGAAGAAAACCCTTCTCTTCTCAAAGATGGTTGAACCATTTTTGTTGCTTCCTTCAGATAGTGAAGAGAAGATTATTAAAAATAATAGTCCATGGATCTGATAAAAATCTGACAACAGAACAGAACTAGAGGGAAAGGCATGCCCATGATATACAGAGGTGGCACGAAAACAAAACAAATCGATCATGTTGCAATGACACTAAATTAAAAGTGAAAAATACAAAGGTTACTGGGGAAAGACATGTCCTAAAAATTAACAAAATAAGAAGACAAGGTTTTTGGGAAAAATGGATCAAGGCATAATCCTGTTGGAAATAATCCTGTGTGTCTAGGTGCATGCTAGTGTCTAGGTTCATAGCATTTACTTTAGCTAAATTTCAGCATGGAGTAATAGGAAGTAATAGACTGATTAGTTGAGTGATTTTCTGCATTTATTAGGAGGCTATCACAGCCTGTTTTGTTGCTCACGTTGGCTATATTAGAAGAGGAGAAAACCAGAAAAGGCTAAGTCATTCCAGCCACCAAAAACACTTGTGCTCGTGTGTGCTTCCTGTGTGAGTTCCTGGTGTCCTGTTAGAGGCATATTTGCCTTTCAAATCCAAATCTAGCTTACACTGGATGAAATTAACAGACTTATTGGACATGTGCTGTTCATAGAAAAGGTGCAAAGCTTACCTCAAAGTCATCCATAGTAATATGTAGGCCCTCCACCTCACTTTCATCCCAGGGTTGTCTCCACCAGTCATGCTTGCTATTCCCATCATGCTCACGGCGATATTGAACTCTTCTTTCATCAATTATTCTCTTCATTGCTAGATTCCCTGCTTTATCCACTAATGCCTTCAAGTCAGCACCAACAAAACCTGGTGTCGCCCTAGCTATCTTGAACAAGTCAAATTCGCCTTCCAGTCGAAGATGCTGAGTAAGCATCTTCAATATTTGCTTTCGTGCATTCTCATCTGGAACACCAAGAGAGATCTCTCGGTCAAACCTTCCTGGCCTTCGCAGGGCTTGGTCCACAGCATCAGGCCTATTTGTGGCTCCAATGACAATAACATAACCAGGTTTCTTTTCAGATGATTCAGCTTCCAAGTTGCCACTGCCTGATCCAATATTTTGGTGGAATTGGTCCATGCATGTCATTAATTGAGTAACTATACGCCGTTCCATTTCTCGTTGTAGATTCTCCCTCTTGGATGCAATTGCATCTATCTCATCAATAAATACAATCGAGGGAGCAGTCCGATAAGCCTTCTGAAATAAGCCCCTGATGTTTTCCTCAGAAGCTCCTGCAAGAACATAGGCGTAATGAGGTGGGCTTCCGCATGAATCCTGACAGAATTTAAATTTATCCTTGTGCAGGAATGAATGTGTATAGCCAAGGTTATTAAGGCGGTAAGGCGAGGTGTGGCGAGCTACCCCCTTCCAGACGCCTAGGCGTTTAAGGCGTGAGGCGAGGTGACGTCATACAAACAACTTAGTATACAATGTCACTAGAATTTAGAAGCAAATTAAACTAGAGTACTAGTTCACAATACCGCCAGTTCTTAGCATGTAATACCATAATAGGTAGTGCTACTAGAGTACTAGTGCACAATATAAAGTAGCAAAATAGCAAATCTAAAATCTCTCCTCTCAATAGCAACAGATTAGACTAATGACATAATAAAGCAGCAAGCTAGCAACGAATCCAGTATATACGCTCCGATCTAATTATCCAAGCATAGGAAGGAGCAGACCACAGCAAAGAACAGAGAAACGAAGGGGAGCACAGAACAGAGGAACGAGAGGGAGGAATAGAAAAGATGTACTTATGCCGTGAACCGCTGGCCGGGAGGCAAAGCAGAGGAAGGTGTTGAGGTTGGATAATGGGCGGACGTTGGGGTAGTCACGAATCGAAGAGCAGAGGGGCGGGGCGCAGATTGAAGCGGGCAGGCAGCAGATCCAGGCGGGCAGGCGGCGGCGGCGGCTTCCAGGTTCTCCCGCTGCCCTCTTCTATCCCCTCTCTCCTCTCTTTCCCTCCCCCTCTCTCAAATCGCATGGAATCCTGATGTGGCGCTTGCGGGAGAGGTATAGGTGCGCCGCGTGATTCCCTCCCGCGCTCCTTTCCCGTGCGCACGATTCCCTCCCAGCGTGATTCCCTCTCTTTCATGCGTGCACTGCCTTCTCCCGCGCGTGCTGCGTCCAGCCGACACCTTGGCGCCTGAGGCGACGCCATACACGGCAAAGTGGCGACGAGCCCGACGCCTCGGTTTGAAAACCGCCCAGACGCCTAGACGACGCCTTAATAACCTTGTGTATAGCCACAAAAAGAGAATATATATACCCTCCCATTTGTCGGCTAAGCCATAAGGGTGGCTGCAAAGCTGGATAAATACCAGCTCTTTCGGAAATATATCCTCACATCTAAAATTTTCAGCAGTTATTTAGTATGATTCTGATTTCATGATGGCTAACCAGGTTTAAAATTTGGTAGTGCCTTGTTAGTAACAACATACTATTGCATTATTGAGCACTACACTGATATTCAGGAAAAACTTGGTCCAGATATTAACAATGCCTAAACAGAGCTCATCCTATTTCATCAATTCCTAGATTGTGCAAAATATTAGGAACACCAATCTCCCACAGCGACAGCTACATTTAGTATGCTAAATACACATCTTGCAAGGTAAACAGCACCATTAATTTTACAGCCTGCACTGATGACATCTAATCAAGAAAAAGGGCACAGGCAGCACACACATTCATAATCAAACATGACTAGCAGCTTAAACTCATTTGTCCAAATACTCAACACGAGCAAAGCATCCAGCTTTCTCCCTCATTATTTTGATGCAAGGAATCAGAAAGCATACCAGACACCCCAGATACGACTTCCGGTGCGGAGATCTTATAGAACGGCAAGCCAGTCTCGTTGGCAATGGCATGGGCAAGGGTGGTCTTTCCGCAACCAGGCGGTCCGTGCAGCAGCAGCCCGGCGACAGGCCTGACGCCAAGTCGGTGCGGCAGCTCAGGATGGCACAGAGGCACGACCACCTCCATCATGAGCTCCTCGATCACCGCCTCCATCCCGCCGAGGTCGGCGAACCTCGGCCCCTTGTCCCCTCTGCCGAACCCTTCAGCAGCAGCCAGGGCGGCCTCCGGCTTGGCGTCGCCGCCGCCACCGCCGTCGGCCGTGATGAGGCGGCGCGGCTTCGCTGCGGTGACCTCGATCTCCAGCTGCTGGTTCCGCTTGGCCGTCTGCGCGGCGTAGTTGGAGCGGATAATGGAGTTGGTGAGGTCGAAGGTGGGGGCTGGTGGCGACGGGTGGGCGGCGGCGTCGGAGACGGAGGTGGAGGAGGATGTGGTGGCGTGGCCGTCGTGGCGGCGGCGGCGGGAGGCGGATGAGCCGTCGTCGGAGGAGTCAGAGGAGGAAGGGGAGGAGGGGGAGGGGATGGGGATGGAGGCGAGAGCGCGGCGGACGCAGGCGACGAAGGGGCCGTGCTTATGGCGGCCGAGCTTCGGGTGGTGGATGCGGAGGGTGTTGGCGACGTCCTCGGCGGAGGCGCCGCGGCGGGCTAGGCCGCCGTTGAGTATGCGGCGGTGGAGTTCCCACTCTAAGGACGACAGCTGGGAGCGGCCGGCGCCGTTGCCGGCGTGGCGCGGGCGCTTCGCCATGGGCGCCGTGACGCGGGGTCGCTACTGCCGCGTGCGACGGAGAGGAGAGAAGCGAGAGGCGGAGGGGGCGGCGGGCGGCCCGGCCAAACCCTAATCGCGCAGCCCCGCGGCCGCAGCGTGCAATCCAACGGCGGGCGGAGCTGGCGGGCTGATGCTTCCTTCTCTTTTTGCTTCCGTTCCCTTTGTGTTGCAATGCCCATAGAAAGCCCAAATGAATCTCTGAAAGGCCCAATCAAACCTTTATGCCCAGCACATCTGTTACCAAGAAAGTTTTTTTTCTCCTGTAAAAAAATAGTTTTTTTAAAAGGTAAAAACAACCTTCTACTCTAGAAATATTTCTAGTGATCCTCTTCGAGTATAACCAACTAACATTGATCGATCGGTCGCTTTTGAATTGTTCTTCACTCGTAAATAAATTTACCATTTTTATCTAGTTTTATGATTTTCTCCACGTAAAACAATGATTTTTGTTTTTTTTTTCGCGGTCGGGCCATTCACCCGTTCTTCAAACAATGATTTTTTTCACCCTTCAAGATCAGAATCCAGCCACCTGCTGCTAGCCAAACAATCCAAGAGAGCGATATTTTGTAATTCACCGAAAGAAATGTTTCTAAGAAGGAACTGAAACCATCTAGATCTCTGCCAAATGCGGCCGCAGCGTATAAGAGGCTTTCCCATGCTTATTCCATTGTTGCACTTGCACCGGAGGGTCATCAGCCCATCATCGCCAAGAGATCGAGGAGGAGCTAGTTTTGAGATCGTATATATCCACATTTGATCCGTGCATGTTCTATGAGTACGAGCTAACCAAATAAGTGAACTCAACGAGATGATCATCGGCATCAAGAAAGAGCTCGATGGATCTGGACAGTGGCGGAGCCAGGATTCTAAACTTGGGTATTCCTACTTCCACGTCAATAAAAAAAATCAGTTGTTTTTAACTGCAATAAGTGAAAATACTACAAAATATGAGCCAATTTGAGAGGCTGTTTTTTTACTGTTTTAGGCTTCAATGAGTGAAAATACTATAAAATATGGCATTATACATATACATATACAAGTATATACACATATATACATAGAAGTGTGCTAAAATAGTTGGGTATTCCTGGGAATACGGGAAATACCCTCTGTATCCGCCCATGGATCTGGAGACAAAAGCTGTGCCTCAATGCAGACATACGGTTTGATCAAGGGCATCTTTTTTTTCCGTAACATTTAATTTAATCACTGATACAAGCAAACCATGGATAGGTTCTCCAATGACAGGAACCATATATAAAAGCGATATTCATCCTTGTTTTTACATAGTACATAGCTGTCATCTCAAGTCATTACAAATAATTATATGCCGGCCAATCCGGCCGTAGCTGGCAAATTAAATCTCACGCTGTTTCAAAAAAAAAAATCTCACGCAGAGACTGACACACAAAGCACACAACACATGCATGGGAGCACACAGCACCAGCAGGGAGACTGCGTAAATGAGGATCTCATCAGAGCAAGGTGTAGTACATGCATCCACGCCTTGTTCTCTGCTCAATGCTCATGCCTGCCGCTGAAGTTGATGACGACTGTGATCTCCTTGTTTTTATTTATATATGTATGTATACATTCCTCACAAAAGCTTACCAAACCAAACAGAAGCCATGGCAGCATATAGTAAAACAAAGATGCTGAGCACACACAAGGTAGCATCCATCCATGTCGCACGAAATGAGTAAATCAGGCAAAAGAAGAAAAAAGACGACACAGCACGCTAGTGGCCACAGAACAAGCAAACACACAGAGCTCAGAGCCATAAGACCTGAAGGAAGCAACACACGGAGTATAATTAATCATCCCTTCCTCTCCTGTGTGTGACAGAACCATGCACAGATCCATTACCCTGATGTCCATTGAGAGGATTACTACCTACAGGAACAGGAAGGAAGGGGAATAAATTAATGCGTCAGTGATGATCCAGTGCTGAAAGATATCATGTACGTATACCACACAAATAAATCAATTTTGTAGGCAATTAACAAAGTTTTTGATCCATATAAAAATAAAATAAAGCTATAGTAGTGGCCGGGTCAATGCAGCATGGCAGCATGCAGCAACTCAAACGAACAAATAATAATAATGAAGGAAAAGACAGCAGTAAGGAGGCTAGCTACTTAATGGGTCACCTGAGCACGGAGGCTCTCAGCAGGCTCCTCTTGTGGTACGCGGAGTGTAGCGGGAAGGGTGGTGGCCAAACTCTTCCCCGCTCCACTCAAGGCTATCCCACCAGTCCTTCTCACAGTTCACTGCGGCAGCGTCTGAGCCTCTTCTTCGTTAAATTCATAGCTGTAAATGGTTCGTTCAGATCTGTGCATGCTTTCTCTACGACGGTGACGAGAGGGTCGTCGAACGGCCGGCAAACGCTTAAGGCTCCAGCAGCCCCTAATCTTCAGTCTCTCGAGGTTAGGCGCCAACATATGGTGCCCGTAGATGTGCTGTAGCATGGGTAGCTCATACAGATAGATGCGCTTCAACCTCGGGAATTCTCTATGTTCTTGCTGCTGCACTCCTGGATCAGATGAAAAAATCTCCCTTAGTTCACCACAGCACACAACCTCGATGGTTTCCAAGTTACGACATGCTCTTCGATTTGATGTGTAGGGAGCACATGTACTAGTCTGGGGCAGCCATCCAGGTGCAAGAATATAAGATTCTCAAAGGAACCACCTCCCGGGCGAAACAATGCTCTGCTCCAATCTATATATGGCCAAACGGACCGCCCGGCACGGCACTGGCACGGGCACAGCCAGGCACGGCACTACGCGGCACGGCATGTTAGCCGTGCCGTGCCTGATAGTGCCGCCGTGCCGACTCAGCGGCCCAGGCACGACACTATCATGGCTTAGACGTGCCGTGCCGTGCCACTGGGCACGGTAGCCCGTAGTGCTCGTGCCGGCACTGGCATTAAAAGTGACAAACACCTTAGAAACTTCAGAATTTTAACAGAAACTTGTACAATATATCAAATTTTAGAAGATCACACTTTGACAGCAGAGATACAAGTTCAAACTTTAACAGAAACTTCAGAAGATCACAAACACAGAAACAGACCAGAGAGCAAAATAAAATTTTATTGGAGCTTTAGTGCAATGGCTGCCTCTCATCGTTGGCACTGACCTCAACGGTCTCGTCGGAGGAGGGGGCCATCGTCACTCGCCGGCGCCTGGTTCCTCAACGGCTTCACACATAAACAAAGAATCAGTAGCAGATCTAGTTAGGGTTAGGGTTAGGGTTTACAGTACCTTGGCGGCCGGAGCACCGGGAACGCCGGCGACGTCGACGACGCGGGATCCGGCCCTCTGGTTCCTCGACGGATGCGAATCAAGAGGGGACCTACAGTAGGGGAGCACATCAGATCGAGATCCAGGAGGGGATAAAGAGAGGAAGAGCCAAATCTGGAGGGGAGCAAAGCTCAACTTACCGACATCCGGAGCACCAGAGTTGCCGGGGGCCCGGCGAGGTCGACGACGGTGACGAATGAGACGACGAGGTGGACAACAAGGCTACATCAACGGGGCGAGATCAAGACGAGGCCGTGCTGTGTGCCCGTGCCGGCCAGTAGTGGCTCTAGATGCCACCGGAGGGCGAGAAGAAGAGAGGAGACACCACCGGAGGCGGAGAGGGAGACGAAGAGAGGAGAGAGCCGCTCGCAGAGGTTAGAGCGAGAGACAGAAGAGAGAGGGAGCTGGAAACAAATGAGCTAGGGTTTCGTCGATACGGGGCGGCGTGGGGGCGCTGGCTTATATAGTCGACCCATCCATCTGGCGGATCCAACGGTCATGAAGGATCTGGGGAGGGGATCAACGGCTCTCCTTTGCTGGATCCGTGCCAAGGCCGTGCCGGCCTGTTAGCCGTGCCGTGCCTGGGCCGTGCTAGCGGGCCGTGGTGGCAGCCCAGGCACGGCACTGCTGCCGGGACGTGCCAGGCATGGCCCGTGCTTTTTAGTGCCGTGCCCGTGCCGACCCGGGCCTGGGCCGTGCTTTTTAGTGCCGTGCCCGTGCCGGCCCACCGTGTTAGTGCCATTTGGAAAAGTATACTCCAATCCCATATATAGCGAGCCTCCAGAAGAAGCTGGATGCCCAGAATGTCTGTAGAGGGAAAAAATCTACCTAACCATAAACTATAAAACTAGATATTGCGCACCCTAAACTTTATGAAACCGGACAAATAACCCCTGGCTGGTATTGGAGGCGGTTTCGCTGATACGGCAATCTGGTTTTGATGACATGGCGTCTAGGCCCACCTGTCAGACTGCACACTCCCAGCACCATCGTCGGCCGTGCGCACGCACTCCTATCTCTGCTCGTTACCGTCCACAGGACGCCTCACCTACCGACGCTCGCCTTCGTCTTCACGGCTCTTGCTCTTCCTCCTCCGCGGCTCTTCCTCCCCAAAAGGTTGGATGCGGGACAAGATGTCGTGTCTCGCGTTGCGCCTGCCTACCGTTCCTTCACGATGTCTCGCCGCACCGTCTCCGAACTCCGGAACCCCTGTCCGCGCCAGAGCGCCCCACCGCGAGCCCGAGCCGCAGTCGAAACCCGACACTGGTGGACGACGGACGCGGAGGTGGAGGCCGCGCTCACGGCCGCACCACACGCCACCGCCGCCGCGCTTTACGGCCTCCCGGACTGCGACGGGACAGGCGCCTGCTTCCCCTGCGGCGGGCTGTGCTGCCCCGACGACCCGCTCGAACTCGTCCTCCACCTCCCTGCTCACACCGCCACAGACCGAGCGCCGTCGTCATCGCTGGCGGCGCTCGGGACTGCCCAGTCCTTTTCCCCGGCCTTGATCCAGACTAGACTATATTTGGTGTCCGGTGTCCCTTGTGCTCTGTGCTCGCTCGCTACCGCCTACGAGCAACAATTTACATAATATATAGAGCATGTGTTCAGTTCGGACCGGAGCACAACGCGCAATTGGAGTCGGAGCTCGTACAGTTAGCTAGCTAGCGCAGGACGTCCGGCATCAGAGTCGGCATCCGTGATGGGCGCGCACGTCCTGCGCGTCGCGGCGTCCGGCATTGGCGTGACCTCGCGGCCGTGGAGCCCCCCGCGGACTGCGCCGGCAACTTGCAGGAGTTCAAGTCGTGCTACCTGGAGCTCTACAAGCCCCACGTTGAGGCCGCGGCAGACGTTTCATGGACGCCGACGGCATCATGGTCAACAGGGTGACCCAGCTCGAGCCGGGGCTTCTCGCCGCCATCGCTGAAGGCCGGTGCGTGCCACCGCTGTACCCGATCGGCCCAGTGCTCAATCTAGGTGTGAAAGATGCGTCCGACGATGAGGCGTGCGTCCGTGGCTCGACGTGCAGCCACGGGTGTCGGTGGTGTTCCTCTGCTTCGGAAGCCTGGGCTGGTTCGACGCCGCGAAGGCGCGCAAGGTCGCCGCGGGGCTGGAGCGGAGCGGGCACCGGTTCCTGTGGGCGCTGCACGGCCCTCCCGCGGCCAGCTCGCGGCACCCGTCGGACGCCGACCTAGAGTCCTAGAGTCCTAGAGCCCAGTTGCCCGTCCTTCTCCGGCCCGCTGTTGCCCGCACCTCGCCGCCGCCGCCGCGGCTCTGCTCGCGGCACAGCCTCACCCGGCCGCTGTTGGCGAAGCTACAGCAAAGTCTCGCGCCGCCGCGGCTCTTGTGCCACGCGCGCTCGCGCTCGCGCGAGCCAGGAGGCCGCCGCCGCCCGCCGGGTCAAAGCGTCCGCACGGAAACAGTCACGAGCGAGACAGGCCGCCGCCATGTCAAGCGTCCGTATTTTGGGGCCAAAGTGACTGACAGCTGGGCCCTGCTGCCAACATGTCTTTCATCATCAGGTTGTAGTGCCACGTGGGCAAAACCGGCTAACAAAACCACCCTAGAGGGTTAATTAAATGGTTTGGAAAACTTTAATGTGCTCGAAAGACGGTTTTAAAGTTTAGGGTGTAAAGTAGCCACGATGCCAAAGGTGAAGGAGTTATGTAGACTTTTTTCTGTCTCTAGATATCCAAAAAATGTTATCATCATCCTCCCATATAGAAGGAGTAAAAACAGAGCCTTCTAAGGGTCTGTTTGGTTGGGCTTTTGGCTTTGGCTTTTGACCCTAAAAGCCAAAAGCCCAACCAAAGGGGCTGTTTTTTTAGGCGGCTTTTTCAGAAGTAGCTGCTTTTCCGTAATATATTTTTGAAAGCTGGTTTGACCATGCTTTTGGCTTGCTTTCTGCTTTTTAAAATTGGTGGAATAAAAAGCTCTTCCATAGTTGTTTCAAGAGAGATAAAGATAGAAGGTATATTTTATACTTGTTTAACTAAACAGTTTTTCAAATTTTTCTACAATTTCACAAATTTCACGTTAGATTTTTCCCACAACTCACACCACAACAACTTTTTTTTCCATGTACCCAAATTTCAACCAAACACACCCTAAGCCATGGCATCTCTCGAGTCGGCACCATAGTAGGCTATCTCAATCTAAATTTATTGTAGCAGGCGGTGCAAGGTCAGGGATATTGGTGATGGATAAGCTGTCATGTAAGTGCAAGGTCTTGGCCTCGTTTGACTTGCTGAAACTTGGCTGAAAGTGGCTGAAAACACTGTTCTGGCTGAAAATATTGTGAGAGAAAAACACTGTTTTGGCTAAAAAAAGAAGTGGAACAAGCCGGATATAAGATAAGCCGAACGGGGCCAGCTCTCTCATGCACAATACTTGGTAGAGCAATCTTGGTCTGTTGTTTGGTAGTACCAGTAGTGCCCTGCAACGGTTGGGTTGGTATCTCATCTTGTATGCTAATGTAGTAGTGGATGTGGCAGAACCGTTCAAAATAACACTTTTTTGGAGACACTCGTCTTCCACTAGACACTGAGGATCTCGAAAGTGAGCTACATCGGACAGTTCCGTCGTGCACACCGTAAGGGAGAACTCGAAACAATCCACGTTTTACATCCAGAATCCAATAATGAGTACGAGCTTACAATACTTAGGCCCTGTTTGGTTGGGCTTTTGGCTTTGGCTTTTGGCCCCAAAAGCCAAAAGCCCAACCAAAGGGGCTGCTTTTGGAGGGTGCTTTTTCAGAAGCAGCTGCTTTTCCGTAGTTCATTTTTGAAAGCTAGGTTGACCTTGCTTTTGGCTTTTGGCTTTCTGCTTTTCGAAATTGGTGGAATAAAAAGCTCTTCCATAGTTGTTTCAAGAGAGATAAAGATAAAAGGTATATTTTATACTTGTTTAACCAAACACTTTTCACTTTTCTACGACTCACATTTCACAAAGAACTTTTCCATGACTCACACACCACACAACAAATTTTTTTTTCCCACAAACTCAACCAAAACAGGCCTTAGTCTATTTCATACAACAAGTGTTTTTAGAAATTATTTATTATAATACCAGAGTTCAGAGTGCGATAATTAAATAGCGGAATGAAAATAAACATCTAGCGGAAATGATACAAGGATCCGTCTATGCCCACCAGAAGAATCCTCCACACAAGAGCTACTCCTCAAGCTGCACCTGCAACATGGGTAAAATAAACTCTGAGTACACAATGTACTCGCAAGACTTACCCGACTAGTGGGAATAATTTTTCGACTCTCAAAGATATGATAGGCAATATGGGTTTGTTATTTTCTTTTTGTTTGTGGAAAGCATTACTAATAGTTCATCCTTACAGTCAGGTTTTATTAGCAGTCATGATTATGTCATTAGCTAACCATTCTAGGTAAGCACATGTTCTACTTTCAAGCAAGGGTTAAGCAATCAGAACCATTTCACCATCTTTCATCTTCTAGTTCTTACTATAGTGCTAGACCATAGCCAAGTCGTACCGTCTCAAAGGAAACGATGATTCGTGAACCAATGTATCCCAGCTGGGTACCCTGAAACAGACGTCCCGTTTGTACCCTAGGCACAAACAAGACCAACCCATTCCACTCCTGTCACGGGGTCCAGGTCCCCGTCCAAATTTGGACTCCAAGCCCCCACACTTGAGACCCGGTCTCAATATGGTACTTAGACCTTCACCTTTCCCCGTCTCCAACCAGTCGGTCCGAAAAGAGCCGAAACCCACGATAAGAGCGTAACGAGCTTTCCCGCTCCCATAAGTAAGTATGTGCTTAGGATAATAAGTCTGTGACCTGACTACCATCCACAGCAACGGACGGTCCTTAACCGACACGAACAGGGAAAACAGTGTAACCAAGCTAAGCCATGTTGACCGTGGGACACAACCTATCACACCCACCAATACCCATACCATAACCTTGCCTCGTCTCCATTTTTTCTTTCATCATTTTATTATGAGAGTAATAATAATCCTCTATTGTGAGCAACGGTAGGTTACTCACGCTACCGATGACCTAAGCATAGCATCTACTCGAACCTGCACTAGTAAGACTCTTAGAACAGGTGTATCTATGGATGTGGTTTCAAAAAAATTCCTATAATGTAAATGCACGACACATTTATATACAGTGAATTATAAAATAGAGGTTATGCACCGGGACTTGCCTTCGGCAGGCGCAGTGTTAGCTGAGTTAGTTAGTGGCGGTTTTGGGACCTCCTCCTGCACAAGAATCTTCTCCTCGTACTCCTCGACGATCTCCTCAAACTCGTGATCGCCGGTGGTCACGATCTCCGCCAACTCGTTCTCTACATGCATGCGATGATGATGCAACACTTAGCATTTATGCAACAGCAACTCTTAAACTAAGAATACACATACTAAGCTGCTAAGCTAGCTCTAATGACTAAGATACTAAACTAACTATCATTTTCATCAAACAAGGTGTTGGGTTCAACTAACAACATTTAGCTTAGCAAACCAAGGATATATTTTTATTTCTACTAATGATTTAATGTATATTGAAACAAAGAGCATTTAACTACTCTAATGCTTAGTCTATTCTAAAGCTACAAAAATTACAGTGAGCACATAATAATACAATGAAGCTATTATAAAAATTTTAGAACTAAAGCTATCACCAATTTACCACAAAAATTCCAACAATAATAAACTTAATATTATTAAGCATCCTCAAATGATTTAATAGCCCCTAATGTCAACACATATAAACATGAACTAAATACACCAATAGATAGAGCACAATTTTAGAAATCTAACAAAATTTGTTTCACAATTTTTAGACACATATATGATTTTATATTAATTACCAAAGATCAGCTCAAAAATTAAATTAGAAAACTATTTCTAATTCCTTATGAAAACGAAAAGCGAATCTTTCTACGCGGCCCAACGCGCGCGCGTAGCGGCCCGCTGAAGCGGCCCACGTGACACCGCCCCGCGCGCGAGACGGCCCGCGGCAGGGGAATCCCGCGCACGCTAGCGCTTTTGCAAAATAGACCTCGCACTTATCCCGAATTACAACTAAGTCATAACGCTATTTCCCCTTCTCACAAGACTTCTCACTTAACCTCCTGACTTTCTTGGAACTCCCCCGCACGCACCCCCGGCTAACCCGTGCCCGGCGGCGCGGCGAGCGGTGGCATGGGGTGGCCACATCGGCCACTAGAGACCCGCACTGGCTCATCGGTCAGGCTGACACTCAACTATGGTCCAACCGCCTACACCGAGTAGCAACACAGGGCGGCAGGACGCACTAGAGATAGCTGTGGCGACGCGTGACCATCCACGATGATGATGCGACTGCTTCAGCGAACCAGGGCACCTAAGGACCTAATCGGCTAGCGAGTGAGCATCAGTAGACTACCATGGACCTAGCCGAGGTGACGGTTGGAGAAGAGGGTGACGGAGAAGGGCTGGCCACGTGCGGCCGAGCCATGTGGCGACGCACCGCGGTGGCACGATCGCGTCAGTGAAAACGGGGAGATGGTAGCGGTTCTGCTAAGGCGCACAGGGTGAAGAGGGAGTCAAGGCGATGCTAGTGGTGCAGGTGAATTGGTTCAGGATGGGCGGTAGGAGGGCTGCCCTCTACCATGGCCGAGCACGGCCTTAATGGCACGACGGCGGGAAAAACTCCAAATTGGAGCTTGGCCTTGCACGATTCAAGGCTGGGTGGGGTCGGGTAGCGAGTGGACGTGATGTTAAAACCGTAGATGCACTGAATTGAATGAAGATGATCGTTCGCTAGATAATTTGATGGCGCGGTTCGACGATGGCAGCAGAGGGAGAAAGAGAGAAAGAGAGAGATGGGGCACGGTAGGTGGGCTCGGCTTGGCCTCGCCTTGGCGGGATGTGGTCGGTGTGATCGTGGAGGCCCACACACAGGCGCCGAGGACAAGCACGCTCGTCCACGACCGGCATGGCCCACGCGACCGCAGTGCCATAAATGGCAAGGCGACAACGAGCTCTACCATATGCGTGCGGCTGCGGTGAGCACCAAACCAGGCCAGCAGCGGGGTAGGGGTGCAGAGGAAGGCACTGACGTGATGGTGAGGCAACGACACCTGCAGCGGCTGTGTCGCGGCACAGGGCGGGTCGACGGTGCAGCGGGACAGCCCACGTGACCGCGGTGGCAGAGCGAGCGGCAGTAGCGCAGCATGGCGTCGTGGTGGCATCGGTAGCGGCAACGCGAGGCAGGGTAGCAGTGCGCGAACACGACGACGAGGTGACGGTGCCGGTAGTAGCTCCACGCGACGGACTAGCGGTAGCCGGGCCACAGCCAGGCCAGAGGCAGCCATGGCCGGCCATGCACGACAGTGCGTGCATGCGCGACCAGCGCGGCGATGCCGAGCACCCGAGCTGGGTGACCGCGTCCACCCGGCGAGTTAGGCCGAGAACGTGTCGTGCACGTATTTTAAAGCACCTATAATAGCTAAACAGTTGCTTCTGGACTTAAACCATCTTCACCATGCTCAAGATGTCATATGAGGCTACCAACCCGAGCTAAAACACGACACCACCTCCTAACTCGATTTCACAAAATAAATCGCCAAACGTTGCACTATCTTGCTGCTTATGTATACTTAAATTCTTCTAAGTCCTTGAGCTGAATTTGATTTCAAGTTCTCTTTTTAGGCTATTAGAAATGTTGACTAGCAATGTTATTTTTCCACAACAAGTATTTCATTGTCATCTACAAAGTTCATATTCCAAATTATATTTAAGTGCCACATATATGTTCTATAGTATTTTTGTTCAATAAAAATTGGTTTTAAACCCTACTTGATATACATGAGTTGTGTAATAGTTTCTCATTTAATATTTTTATTGATCATTTTAGGTTGCAATACTTCATCTATTCATTCCATCACATGCATTATCATATAAACATGATGTTCATGACATGGTTTAGTAATTTGTTTAGAGCGTAACACCGAGGGTGTTATAGTGGGCTCAACTAGAATGCGTAAGAATAGGTGGGCATGGCCACATCCACATGATGGCTGGAGCATCAATATCAACATCTCCTCCATTGGCACCAATAATTTTGGAATTGTCTTTCAAGGTGGAAATGATGTCACCCATGTACAAATTACCAGTAGCCTTTTGCAAGCTTATGGCTGGCACCTCTAGTTCATTGACACTGCAAGTAGTGTCACTGACTCTTCGAGTGATACCTTTGTGACCACCGGTAGAAGAAATCTCAACATGTAAGAATTTGAAAAGTTTGATGCGCAGAAGTGATTGAAAAAGCCTTGGATCCCTCAAGGAAATATATGAATCTGAGTAGGTCAATGATTTGTTGTTGCCATGCATTGCTATTGACTATGATTCTATACTTGTAAAGTCACCACTAGTAGAATCTTCCTTCTTGGAGGCATCTTCCCTGGCCCATGTTATATGGGTGGTGTCAATGCGTAGCACCTCTAACTTTATCTTCTTGTTTTCGTCATGTGGCCATAGTATTGCACGGAGCTTCTCACATCCAAAAAGAAAGATTCGCTTAAGGTTCTGGGCTTGAATCGCACTGAGGTCAAGGGTTTCAATTGATGTACCTGACATGTACAGCTCCACAAGGCTACCAAACTGTCCTATAAGCAACATGGATTTCAATTTGGCACATCCCTAGAAGGGGATCCTCTTTATCCTTGTGGTGGCAATATTGCTGGTGAAGGAAAATGACTCTAGTGATAGGGGCAAAGTGCTGTATTCAATTTCTTCTAGCTCACCACAACCATTGATGATGATAGTCTTAAGGATGTGCCAGTTTGGTAGGTTTGGGAATGATGAAATATGATCTCTGTCATTAGTGGCACCAGTAATGCCATAGTCCTTAGATGATTTGGTTAACACATGGGTTGACTTGACTACCTCATCTTCTTCAAATGACTCTGTAGACACTACCACTCGAAGCTTGAGCATCCTACTTTTGGAACCACTACAATGATGTAGATACATCATGCTCCTATTGCCTGCTCCTTTTACATTCAACTCCCTAAGTTCAACCATTAGATCCAACATCTCTTTCGATGGCAACCAATACCAGTTTGTGTAACTCAGCTCTAGTACCCACAAATTCTAAAAGCATGTTCTAATGTCTTGGCTGCAACCCTCTTTTTCACCATCATGTGGTGCAAGGTTTGTGTCTTTGCAATGATCGAGCAGCAGGAACCTTAGGTTGATGCAACTTAGGAATGGGGGAGATGAATAACTGAAGATGCAGCCAGACTGCCAGAGAGATGTAACACTCGTAGCTTGCTCATGTATGATTTTTCAAACATGTTGCCTACTGATATCTATTGTCAAAAGTGAAGAAGGATATTGGGACTTCTGCTGCTGCTTTATCTTGGCTAGTGAGTGAAACCTAGTGTCGTTCACTATGCCTCCACTTTTTGTCTCTTAATATTTCATATAAATTACCCATCGAACTCATAGGACAATCTAAATTCATGTTCGTATGCAAAGCATCACCGATCTCCCATGCCGATCTACCATAATCATTGGCATCCTCTATGATTCCATCACATACCCAATAGTTGGCTGCATGAATGGCCCAGTTTATGTTGTAGTGTCGTCTTAGCACCATGTACAAGATACATTCTAAAACAATCTTACTAGAGTCAGTTCAAGAACACCATCAGACCTAGCAACTTCCTCAACTCGGCCTCATTGCAAGGTGAAGCGAAAGAAGACATTAACGACTACATTCCGGGTGATAATACTTTGCGGGCCAACCGATACGAACACATCACTCAACCCAGCTAACTTCTCCATCTCAACCTCCTCAAGTGCACCATCACAGAGCGTGAACCTGCTTGCCTGATAGGCCCACAACACCCTCTTGCTCATAACACCCATGACAGGGACACCACATTCCCACAGATCCACATAGTTGTCACTCCCATTGTGGGACACCACAAGGAATTTACAATTGCTAAGTTCATTCAAGATTGCCCACTTGACATGTGGAATCACACCTCTAGCAGCCTGCTCCACCCCGTCAAAGTCATCCTCCTCATCACCCTGGTCAAAGAATGCCATCACCTCCTGGGGAAGCCTTAGCTCCTCCGCAATTGCCTTCTACAAAGACCTCTTGTTTTGCCAAAGTGAGCAATCGATGTGGATGATCTTGTCCAAGCCTGCTTCTTTCCTAGTAGCAGCCTCTGATAGTGGTGATCTAAGTTGTTTGATGACCGCTTTGAGGATGGCAGATGCCCCTAGCCCCATTCCAGCAAACTAGTCATGCAAATATATCACACCCCACTGTCTTGTACGTTCCAGAAAGCCAATTATCTCCTTCGCCGCAGCATCAACATTATCTACTTTGATTGTGATCCCCTGCAATATTGATTACTAATAAATAATTAACACTTCTGGTGAATCAATAGTACTATATATACAAGTGCTAATAGCTGCAGCGTGATGTGGGTTATTATTCGATATGCATTTATCATATTGCATTGTACACATCTATATACCCTTTGTCGTAGATGGAAGGTGTACAAAACTAAATATATGCCTTATGTCATAGAGATGGAGGAATGTTTTGCGGTGTCTACAAGAGGCAAATGTCGCAAACTTTATCACACTACAAAAGAGCGAGTTTTTTATGGGGGGTTAACCCTCTTTCATTACCGTTTGATATTGACACCGTTTCATATGAGTCTTCCGTCGTCCGAGATCTTACTCTCCCTCATTAATAACCGTTCGATCTAGACGCCGTGTCATATGATCCTTTCGTCGTCAAAACATCTTACATTTCCCCACGCCCCACTCAATCCCTTGGTCATGTACGCCTGCGCAACGGACTTAATCACAAAGCTCGACTCCCTCTCGGTCACAGTGCGGCAACACGCCAGCAAAACGACTTAATCATACAGCTCGACTCCCTCTCGATCACAGCTAGCACCTAACCGTGTCCTACCCAGCCATCATGCATGGCCTTTCTATATGCACACGTATAAGGACTTGAAGGTGGGCAGGAGCTAGCGGGCCTAACGCTTTCTGCAAGATTAATGGCGTCGATCTAATTGCAATGTACGATGATTGGCTTCTGTGCAGCCGGGCTGTTAGTATTAGTCTCAAAAGCAAGAGATAATTAGTTCATAATTTCATATTCATATATAATTTTGACAATATACACAAAAATATTTAAGAAATGTTATTAATCGAAACAAAATGAAAAATGCTTGAGAAAAAAAAAACTTCTAAAGAGAATTAATTTTTAAAAGTTCTAAAGAGAATTTATTAACCTGGAACAGATTAGCGCATCATCATATCATCGAATTAAAGGGCAAACCATATTAGCTACTAATATAGAGAGGAAGAGTATATGTAGCGACCATGCACTTCCTTTCGGAACTGCTACTGTAAAAAACAAGTCACTGCATTAATTGCTCAATTACCTTGACCACGGCGTCAAGAAAAACCAGTCCAGAATTCCAGATAGAGTAGCAGCTGAACACGTACAGGTACATCTACCTATCTATCTATCTGCAATAAGATGAATCGATCGATCTCAGCGGCAGGTGGAGATGAAACGAAGACGAACTGTACATATAAGTAATGTTTGTGATTTCTGAAGTCGACCGACAACCCAATATATATACACTACTACAGGATAGCTTTATTGTCTCGGGCGGTAACGGCTTTTAGTCCCGGTTATCGTGCCGGGACAGCGATTCCGGGACTAAAGGTGGTTACCAACCGGGACTAAAGGCCCTCCAGCCAAGCAAACGTGGCCGCACCCTTTAGTCCCGGTTGGTAACCCCAACCGAGACTAAAGATTTTTTTTTCTTTTTTTTGTTTCTATTTCTATTTTTCTTTTTTTCTATTTTCACGCTGCTACTAGGTTTTTTTTGTTTCTATTTCTATTTTCCTTTTTTTCTATTTTTAATTGATGATTCGTTTTGGTTTTTGAATACGCATTCTACGCTGCTAGAATATACGTACGTTTATAATGTTCAACATTTTGTATAAACTATAGTACGAAGGACCTTTAGTCAAGGATCAGCGGTACAATCCTGTTCAAGTTCGTGTTGCTTGGTTCGAGAGCTGAGCTTTTAAGTTAGCTTTCACTCTTCTGTGCAAGCGAGGTGGTGCTAATAGATGGGACTGGTCAGCAATTCCAGCATACTGTGTACTGGGCCGGCCCATCGAGGCTCCTGTAAACGTCCGGGACTAAAAGACCTTTAGTCCCAGGTCGTAATACCAGCCGGGACTAATTGATTTGGTCGTGTTCAGTTGCATCGGACCAGCCGGGACTAAAGGTCTTCGTTTTCAGTGTCAGCAATAAATGCAAGCCGGGACTAAAGCTCATAAATGCAAGCAGGTAAATACAAGCCGAGACTAAAGCTCGTAAATGCAAGCAGGTACAAGTAAAGCACCATCAAGTACGTCTTCGTTTCTTATTGCTACTCTAGTTCCGGTTGGAGTTTCAATTCCTACATACAAATGCAAGCACGACAACCGGGACTAAAAGCTTGAAACATACATATGGGTCCCGGTTGGAGTTTCAAGCTCTAAGCTTTAGTCCTGACTGAAGTTTCAAGCTCTAAGCTTTCTAGTACAAGTAAAGCACGGTAATAAATGCAACCAGGACTAAAACTTAGAGCTTAGAGCATGGCAATAAATGCGACCGGGACAGCACGCTGTCAGTCCCGGCTCAAAAGACTGCCTGTTACAGTTTCAAGCTTTAATCCCGGTTGGAGACAGCAAACAGGACTAAAGGTCCCTTTTTAATCCCGGACGTAGCCTCCAGCCGGGAGTAGACTTTTACTCCCGGTTGGAGGGACCAACCGGGAATAAAAGTTAACCTTTAGTCCCGGTTGGCCTGCAGCAAAAGTCTACCGCAGTAGCTGTTGGGCAGGAACCTTTAGTCCCGGGGGCAAAAAAAAAATGTCGAGGCTAATACTAAATTGAGACATCGTTCTAAAGTCTGTTATCTAGTAGTGATATGATCGCACGAACAAGCTGCTTTTTGCATTACTTGCTGCTCTATTATTCCTTGCGTGCTTCCCTTTCGCTTTGGTTGTGCTCTACCTTCACGCATCATCTATAAACAGATTCTTTGTTGGTAGATGGTAAAGATGTAAAGGTAAAGTTAAAGTCTGTCTCTGTAATGTAAAGACGAAAGAAAACATGGCTAATAAAGAGTAACTAGACAAATTAAATGAAATACATGATCATATAAATGTCGTGAAACTATACAAAGCGTGCATCGATATATAGTTTTAGCTGCCTAGCTAGATGTCAAAACATAAGCTAGCTAACTCTCGATCGTCTAACCGTTCTCCCTTCTCTTTCAAATATACTCCAATTAATGACGTTCAGGATCAGTTAACTACATGATAATAATGTCATAGATTTAGAAATAGAGGGAGTAAAAAGTGATGCCCACTAAGCTAGATCATGCATATCCATCTGGATCTGCACCTCAAGATCTTCCCGAAACGTATTCATTTGCTTCCGTTAGCTGTTCGGTTGATGGTTTCTGCGACTGATAAGCTGGCTGATGCTGATTTGTTGTGAGAGAGAAAACTATTCCCGGGCCGATAAGTTCAAGCGAACAGCGGTGTTAACTTCTTTTCTGCAAAGCATAGTCATCGCTCGCCAGATTCTTTTCTTTCTATACAAGTTAATAATGATCATAATTCCTAAAGAGAAAGGAAAACGTCAAAAGCTGTTAAATTTGTCTACGAGGAGCCGGCGGGACAGGATCACGGCTCTTCAAAAGATTGGTAAAAGCCAATCGTGAGTTTACACCCTGGTTAGCCCCTTCCTGAGTCATGTTTTGATTCAGGATGACATATATTAGATAGAATTAATCCCACTAGTAGATGGATGGATTTTAATCCCGGTTGCCTTGAACCCGAACTAAAGGTCCTTCAAGAATAAAAAAAATAATGCCTCTCACCTCTGTACCTCGCGTGGGATTTGAAACCAAGACCTCATATATTGCCTCGTGTGTAACTTTCCACCCGCCTACACAACACATGTGATTTTAGATGGGATGCTTTCCTTTTGAACTAACCTGTCGAAGGACTTTTAGTCCGGGTTGGTAACATCAACCGAGACTAAATGTTCTTCATTAGTCCGGGTTGATGTTATCAACCGGGAATAAAGGGTCAAGGCTGTGGACTAATGCTCTCAGTAGTACCGGTCCCAATTCTAGACGAGACTAATATGCTGAACCGAAAGTCTTTTCTCTACTAGTGTCCATCAACCCAACTCGGTGGAACTAAATCGAGCGCCACATAGGTAACACAGAAACTTCACATTCCGTCTGGGCCCTAGACACGTGGGCTTCCCACCACGCAGGTGTAGCCTAATAGGCCCAACTGCGGTCCCTCATCCGTCGTCTTCCTCAGTCAGTCTGTGCTCGCAAAAAAAACTTTATAGTGTTTTTTATTTGGTGCCATATATATTGATTTTTTCTGTATTTTTAGTATACTTATTTAGTGTCATGGACGTTGATATTTTTCTGCTAAATTTAAAATAATAACTTGACTTAGAAAACCTCTAAAATTTGATTTCTTTTAAGACAAAATAAGTACTTTTATTCTATAAATAAACACCAAAATATCATAAAAGATTCATACACTTTCTTTTTTGACTGAAGCTCCTTTGAGACTAGGCAAAAATATCGATCAATTACTGGGGCCTCCGTTGGTGCGCCCATCGGCGTGCCAATGTATACGCGCTGGTCAGTTTGTTTGGCAGAAAGTGGTTCTTGACGGACTGAAGTTGATGGAACTTTTGACGCACAGTGTTTAATGTGATGGCAAACACTGTAGTAATTTTGTTTGTATTTGTAAATTATTGTCCAAACATTGACTAATTAGGCTCAAAAGATTCGTCTCGCAAAGTTCAACCAAACTCATTGTTTGATGTGACGACAAATACTGTAGTAATTTCGTTTGTATTTTTGAATTATTGTCCAAACATTGACTAATTAGGCTCAAAAGATTCATCTCGCAAAGTTCAACCAAACTGTGCAATTAGTTTTTGATTTTATCTACATTTAGTACTCCATACATATA